CTTTCTTTAAGTTTCTCCTTTCTTGAACTTTTCATATGTGAGGCGCCTGAATAGATGCATTAACCACCGTAGAGTTAAATTCCTCCCCCTCCTTCTCGCCCGCCTGCCTTCACTGACAAACGTTTTCAAAATGAAAATTGGGAATCCTCTCCCTACTCTTCACATTCATTTTCACTTTTCCCTCACTGAACATCTACATCTTCGGGGAGAGGATAAAGGCATGCATGCAGGGAGATGAATGGTTTAATTTAGATTCAAATTGCATAAAGTGGGCTAATCGGAATAGCTGACAAAAGCTCTGTGACGAAGAAGTGATAACCTGCAGGCTGCTTCCTTATTGCAGGAGATGGGAGTGAAGTGCCGGGCTGGTTTACAGGTCTAATTGCATGACTCAGTGTAGGGAGTGGGAGACTGACATGGGAGGAAATATTCCTGTGGGATTTAACACTTTCCATGATAAGTCAGAACTCAGCATTCATTTTACTACTTTTACAAGTCAGTTTTTCACAGATAGACTCTCCTCATGTCTCCTTTTCTCACCTGTCTCCTTGTGGTCTGTGTTTGTTTGGACACTTAAAATTCATTGTCTTCTATGTGCAAGTGCAACTCTTTTGTTTTGTTTTTGTTGGTTACGTTTGCTCATCAGTCTGCAACTTCAGTCTCGGTGTCACTTAAAATCCTAAATTTCAGTCTTACATCAAATTTTTACAATTGTGAATCCAATGTCGCTAAAGTAAAATTCCTGAGGATATGTCCGGTTACAGTGTGGTTATTTATGTTTCTGCAGGGATTTATATGGATGGAGATTAGTTGTTTATTTTTACATGACTGTTTCATTTACGTCAGCTCAAGTTCTGCAGTTCTAAAACAGGATTAACATTACTTGAGGATATAAAGAATCACATATTTCCCTTGTTCTTTGGATGAATGAATGGATGGATACTAGAGTAAAAACAGTTACAAAAAGCAGGGACATTTATTATATAAAACATCAACCAACAGAAGCTGAAATTGCCCTGGAGTAATACATTTTTAAACTAACACTTCATCCTATGAGATGCATAACAGCAGACTGCAGTTTCCCTTGTTTTGTTTTTTTTGTAATAAATTGGCCATTAAAGATAATGCATTTTTGTATATTCTGCAACCCATACAGGGTGGATGATGAATAACATGACAGTTTATTTAAAATATCCTAGTAAATTAAAAAAAGACAGTTCTTGTTGCATGGAGAATACAATGAAGGGTGCTGAAACTGTCCTCAGTGATACATTGAAGAGAACTGTGGTACATAGCATCAAGGGGCTTAAGAGTATTGGCAGCAAATTAAAGTAAATTACATCTACACAGAGAAGGACTGGTGCAGTCTTTAACCCACTGCCGATGCAGTTCTTAAGCCCTGACACGCAAACATAAATCTCATATTCATGCCATTTGGTGTTATTTCCTCTTCCTTTGGATATCATTATCTCCAAACTTCATTGTGACCGATAAATCGGCTTAAAAATTTTAGGGAAAAAAGGTCTTTGTTAAACCTGCCTGGCACTTGTCACATTGTTAAAGTAATCCAGGGATTGTTGTTTGTACAGCAGTGAGTACTTTGCAGTCAGGAACTGCTAATAGCTAATATGGCATTCTTTTAATGGTGCTTATTAAAAAACTCTCACTAGTTAGACTCAGTACTTAAAAGAATAGTAGCACCAAAGATGTCTCTGCTTCTGCTGGCTTTAATTATAACAAGAGTGGTTTCCCAAACACACCTACATGCCAGTGTTGGCATTTTCAGAATCATTTTTGTCTTTTTCTAATTTTCTGCTATTTTTTTTTGATCCACCTACAAATATAAGAATGTCTACTAGACAATATTTAAATGACAGATTGGGGGGAAAAACAGGAAAAAGAGTAATTGAAACTGGAGCAGTAATTATTACTCCAAAATTAGCAACGAGGGGACATTGTGCACTCCTTTTGGAGGGGGCACAGTGGGGTCCCAGGGGGTGGGGGTGTTACTCTGCCTTCTTATGTTAGCAGGTACCTGGCATTAACATATGGCTTGCTTTACTGTACACTAATGAGGTTGTTCATATGAAAGTGAAAAGTTCTCGTTCTTTCATAATATGAGATGAACTATGAAGAAATTTGACTAATTCAGTAACAAACATTTGAATTTCAGTTCACTTAAATTAAGTTCAGTTTCATTTATATAGCATGGAATCACAACAGTTGCCTCAAGGCAGCTGTTATATTAAGGTAAATGGAATATGTAGTATAATGACTTTTTTATATAATATGACTAAACAAATAAAGTAGACCAAGAAATTCTAAAGCTGCTGTATAGTAATCCCAAATATTGAAAGTACATTACAGTGCTGTGCAAAATTCTTCATTTTGCTTTATATTTACTGTTTCTATGATGTGATGATGGAAATAAAACATTCGTATGAAGATGACTTGTTAGCTGTTTTACTAATACTCTTTCAGAAATTAAAAAAATGTGATGATTGGTCAATAATTGGCTAAGACAGTTGGGTCAAGTGATGGTTTCTAAGTAATGGTTTAATTACCACCACCTCAAAGACATATGGTTTGATCATACCTAAGATCAAATAATTATTAATAGTAGGACTTCTTTGAGCAGTCTTTTAAGAATGAGGTCTAACAGACATGTTGATGGTTTGGAAGTATCAAAATATCAAAGCTAACTCAGAAAGATCAGAAGCTTAAAGGGCCTGATTTACCTCTCGGTTCTTTTGTCAGGGTTTTTGGATCCCCCCCTCCCCCCTTTACCTACTGTGTCAAGTTCTCCTGTGTCCAGTCTTCCAGTTATTATTTTCCTGTATTGTTTTGGTAATCATGTATCTTCTGGGTCTTGCATTTAATTTTATTTCCTGTCATTGGCTTAATTAGTTTCACCTGTGCTTCATTTCCCCTGCTGTGTCTCATTCCTCCGATTAGCCCTCAGTCTGTTCAAGTGTGTGTTTATAGACTTGCTCTAGTCTTTTGGTCTTTGTCTGAATGCTTCCCTTGTGACTGCCTGCCACTTGGAGTTGGATTTTCTTTGTTGTTTTGCTTCATGCACTTTGTACTTTTAGAAAGACTTTTCTACCATCGTTAAAACGTGTATTTCTGCTATTTCTGTGACAAATATACAATATAAAATTGGTTTTCTGTTAAGTTGTCTGTTCTGTTATGACACATGAATGATTCATAGGTCAGCATTAACAAACAAGCAAACTAAATAAACTCCAAACACGTGTCTCTAAAAATGGTCAGGTAAACAGACTTGTCTAAGAGTTTAGGTGGAAAAAGTAGCCAGTGCCCAAAGAAAAACTATGAAAGACTTTCACAAAGCCTGGACAACTATTGCTCAATACCATTTGGAGAAAGTACAAGAATTCCTGGCTCACTGAACAAAAATGTAAAGACATTTGCACAGTACAGCATATTCTTGCAAAACGGGCAAAATCTTTTCCATAGCCTGAGTAAATTTAGCCTCACATCAAAAAAAGTAGAGAAATTAAAATGAGAAAATATGGCCGATAACGTCTATCACAGGGAATGTTTGCATTTCTAATTTACAGGGAAGTAATTAACAGTCTGTGGATTATTTTCTCTAATGAAGGACGACTTTTATTTCCAATTATCCCCACAAAGTCACCTCGTGTTCTCCTGAGCTGCAATAATAACATAAGTTAGTGTATTTAGGATCCTGTAGGAATAATGGTTCATTTTATCAGCCTGACTGAGTACATTAGATAAGAGGCTAATGTGATCGTTTGAAGTTCTAGTGCAGGTTAACCGTGAACCATGCTTTAATATGAGCAATGGCTCCAGACTTTCCAGTGGCTCCACTTTAGAACCCAGATATACCAGTAGCTAGAACAGTCTGTTCTGCAAGTCATTTGAGATATTTTTAGTTAAATTACACACTTTTCTTGTAATTAGCCCAAACTGTGTAGCTTGTCTCTTAGTTTACTCAGTTCACAGCTGTCTGTCTTTCATATTTCAGGGAATTGTGTACTTACAAGGAATACCTTATTGAAATACACAAAAGTTTTGTTAGAAAAAAAATCATATTGACAGCTGACAAAGACAAATTGCTCTACAAGCTTAATTATTCAGAGCTCAGCTCTGAAATGACAAGCTTCCACAGTGGAAGCAGGCTGGCAAACAGAAGTGATCATGGGAAAATTTTGGTGATTTTCACTTTGACTTGATACTCAATACTAGTCAATTAAAAAAGGATGTCTTTCAAGCACCTTACAGGTTTCTGTCTGTAACCTATATTTATCGGTTCTTCCCACCCCTTCTGCTATAGCCAAGATGGTAACTTTTATTGCATTGCATGAAGATACTTCACATCAGTTTGAACACACTTACATACTTACGTGGCAAGTGTCCATATGGAGGTGTGCAACTTTAAAAAGCAGTACCATAGGGTTTTCCAACATCCACAAATGGTTGAGTCGGCGCCAAACTTTGGAATAAAATCACAGTAAAAAAAGCTGTTTTTCTTTTTCTTATTAGTGTGTTACAATATGCAACGTAAACTAATATATATGCCTTATTTGTACTTGTCCACCTGCATTCTTGTTACGTTCAGGTGTAGGGTGTACATTATATATAGGTGTGAGAATAATAATGATGGTGACTGATAGGTACATTTTCATTTCCCTTACTTAATATGCAACATTTCTTGCCACTAAACTGTATTATGTTCTCCATATGTGAACTATTCTGGTGTAGAATTCTGTTTTCTCTTCTATGTGATGGTGACTGCAGTGTTTGTACCTTGGTTGTGACTACAGGAATAGCTATACCCCAAAAACTGTGCAGCCTTCCTGTCCAGCTTTGAAGTTGTGCGTCTTTGCAAAAACAAATAGTCCAGACTGTTTAATTATAGTAAATATCATTTGAACATGTTGGTTTCTTGTTTAGTTTTGCTGCACTCACCTCTAATGTCTCAATTTTATATTTTTCTCTTGTCTGTTGTCCACCAGAGCCAAGAAGAAGACCAAGCCCTTGAACCTTAAGATCCACAGCAGTGTGGGCAGCTGTGAGAACCTGCCCACACAGCGCTCACCCCTCCACACTGAACGATCTCTGCGATCCTTCTTCTTCCCCTCTTTCATCCCTTCTACACCACCTGTTCATGCCGAAACACCCTCTGCAAGTAAGTGAACATCTTTTTTTTAAATGTCGCACACTGATTTTTTAAAATGAAATTACATTTTTCTTAATACTTTGAACGTATCCCTTTCATGATCTACTCTACTGCTACTCTGATTATTTAGTTCTCTGGCAATGTTTCATTCCTGGGATGTTGCTCTGCTTTTAGTTGGGTCAAGTCTCAGTTGGTTCATCAGTTTTTTGTCACTATGCCTTGCCACCTGCAGAAACCACTTGCTTTAACTGCTCTTACTTAACTGCTGAAAGTAATTATTTTTGTTAAAAAATGCTTTAGTACAGCTCTGCTGGTAAATGCAATAAATAGACAATCAGGTCGTGACAATAATGACCGGAGGTTGTGTGTTGCTGCACACTGGCAGCCTTATTGGCTGATACATTAAGACATTCTGCGGAAGCCATTAGATTGAGGAGATGGGGATGGGGGAAATGCAGGGAAACAAAGTAATGGAAGTCTTGTCAATGAAACGGGTGATGAATGGATAACACTCAGTGTTCGGAATCCATGCAAAACTTCACTAACTGGTATAAGGGACAAAGCTGTGCATACTTGTTGGTTGAGGCATGACCTGGAATAATCACACATTTAGAAAAAGAAAAAAGGAGGTGAAAGGTGAAATTGATATATGTGAATTTAATGGCATAGTCTCAAATTCTAATGCATTTAGTATGGCAAAATGGGTACAGATGTCCAAGGTTTGGACCAAAACTATCAGTTATTTAATAACATAAAAAGGACGAAGCTTGTAAAAATCTCTGGTTTAAGGAGGTTCATACTTGATTTCTGATAGAAAATTATTACCGGTAATAAAACATTAATAAGTATGTTATAAGGAAAAACAGTGATGTATGAATTATTATTTCTAATTCAGATTTGTTTTTCCATTAGCTTAATAAGAGATGGAAAACCTGGTGCCTCCATTGTGAGTTATTTACAGATATTTTAAGTCAGAGATGCTGGCTTATACCCACAGATAATATATAAAAGATGCAGTCTTTCTTTTTAAGTAAATAAGTAATTATCTCACCATGTTGAAGAGTAGGTTTGTCCTGATGATGATTCTAGTCAACTCATCATGCTACCTGAGCAACAGATCTGCTCTCACAGCACATCCTTTTATGCAGCTGGAGAACATTAAAGTGAGCATGCTGTAAACGACTGTGAATACCCACAATAAAAGTATCTTTTTTCACACTGTCCAAATCAGAACTTGCAACGTGAGCTTTAAGCTTGACCAAATAAGAAGTGGTGGCTTCTGTGAGGTGAGCACGGTTTGTAAAAACACAACATAAATCGATCAGAGAATGGATTTACTGTTTTATTCTCATTGAAAATACTTCTATATGTCCCCTCCCGTATGTGTCGTGGGAGTGCGAACTGAAAAACCACCAAACTGCATCGTCCAAGTTAACACGGTCTGCTCTAGGCTATAGCACAAATAAACTTCTTACGTAGATAAAGAGTTTTGGAGTTGGAGGAAGTACACATTGCCTTTTTTTATCCTGTTGTACTAGAAAGCATTATTAGACACGGTGGGTATCACAGCTTGGTTTGGAAACCTGCCTTTATACCCGCAATCCAAAATAAGCGCTCTACTGTGGACAAGTTTGAAGGAGTCGTACAGCTTCATACACCCTTAAGGCTCTTTGGGAGGAGTCATTGAGCTTGCTCGCTCTGAAATATCACCTGTGATTTCTCACTTTAATGTGAGCTATTTCCTTGAGGCGTGCTTTGCAGTTTTCCTCAGTACAGCTGACTGTTAGAAAGACTGTTTGTGCCGGTGTCAATTACACTAAATGCTGAAGGGCAACATCCAAGTTCTGTTTTTATGTGGAACTTTATTTATTTATTTACAACTCGAGCACTGACTGCAAAAGAAAAAAAGGGAGTACGTCTATCTGTGTTAAATTAACTGTAAGCTTTTACAAAATCTGCTTAATCTATTTTATCATATTGATAACCAGGTGGGAAAATGTACTTGTTTGATAAAATAACAAACAAAATTTTACACAATAGCTGACACAATGACCGGCATGGCAAAATTGTGCTTAACGAAAAAAGACAGCGTGAATCATCAGATCACTATTTGCTCATTGTGTTTCATTATAAATAACAGAGCAGAGAAAAAACAATATTTACAAAGTTGCCCAGAGGAATAGTAGTTCAGCAATCTGTTTGTGTGTGTGAACGCTTGTGTGAGCATTTGGGCAAGTATGCGACTACCAGGTCAGCCAGGCTAAACATCCATCCCGTGTCTATGTTTGGGTTTATGGTATCACAGCCATCTCATACGTCAGGGCCCTCCAGCCAGCAGTGTTATTACTTATCTTGCAAGTCGTTTGAATCAAAACATGCGGAGGAGCTACGAGACTGGCTGAGGTAACCAGGACCAAACGCTGTCTGCCAGGGATGAGTCAGTGCCCAGTTGAAGCTGAGACGTCAGCAGTTTGTTTGGCTTTCCACCTTGAGAAGCTGGTTATGATTACAAATATAATTCCATTACAGTGGTGTATTTCGGCTCAGGCACTCCTTGGCACATTGTTAGGTTCTGGAGACAAGCTGCAGATAGTTTCTCATTTAATCTGCAGCTACTGGTTATTGTGTGTGTTGATCTTTATTCAATTTAAAATAATAAGTCTATTATTCTATCATATTATATCTATTAATCATCTGTCGCTTGCATTTTGACATTTCTACCATTCCTACTGGGTGATTCCAATCGATGCATCACATCTAAGGGAGGATATTTGTAAGCTGAGTTTTTAATGGAGCTATTTGAGTTAAAAAGCCCCAGTAAAAATAATACCATCATGCTATGCACTTCAAATGCACTGCACATGGTAAATCCACACTTGGCTGGGAAATTAAATGACTGTCCTAAATGCGATAAAATTGATTTATCTTACATGTACACATTGGTGTATCGCATGCAGAACTGTGCAAAAATCTTCAGTCAGACCTAATTTCTTTATATTTTGCTTCCTAGGTGCAGGACTTTCCTTCTCATTTTTAGGAGGCCTTGAGCAATAGTTCTTCTGAAGGACCTTTTCTTCAGACATTGGCAGCTTTTTCATTTATTTTTAGTGTGGTCCTTAGAGAAATGTGTTTGAACTTAATTTTAGGATTTGTTTTTGTTTCCTAGCAGCCTGTCACAAAAGCACATAATAAACACATAATATGCTCCAGTTTCTTCAGTTAAATCTTGGAAAAATGCCAAAGATAACACAGTATTTTTGCACAAAAAGGTTGATTCCCAAAGAACTATTAGAAAAAATTGTGGCATCTCAGTATAGCATGTGGTATGTCCTTAACCGCCTAGGACCTGGTGTCCACATATGTGGACATCACATTTTGGGTTATTTAGACCAAAATACTGAATTTTGCTCTACAAGGGCCTGATATCCACTTACGAGGACATTATACTGCTACTGTTCTATCAAAACTTTAAATGAATATCCTCATATGTGGCTTTCATTTTTCTTAGAAACAAAAATCAGGTTAAAAAAAATCTGGTAATTCTTTGTTTTTACACTCATCGGGCCCCAATCAGCCCAAATATCTTTAAAATGCATGCTGTGGAAGAGTTCGGGTCTTAGGAGGTTAAAACACTTTTGGAAACTGACTAAGTGGAGGATAAAGAAGAAGTAAGAGGCCTAAAAAATGATCTAGAGTAAATATACAGTATCTAAAAGTCACATAATAAAGAAAAAAAAGGCAAAAATTTGCAAGGAGGGAGTATAATAGTGTGAGTCTACCACCATCGGTTGAGGCTCTGTAATGGTTTGTGCCTGAATTTCAGCCAGCGGTGCTGAGATCTCATCAAAGTTTATGGGACTATAAACACAGAAAAGTACCATCATATTTTCTCCTGCCATGCAATAACATCTGGAAAGCATCTGATTGGCAGCAGCTTCATTTTTTTTTAGCATGACAAGGATCCCAAACAGACTGCCAATACAGTAATAGCATACCTAGTCAGACAAACACACAATGGAACACTATCAGTCATGGACTGGCCTCCTCACAGCCTGGACATCAACACTGAAGCAATGTGGGATCACCTTGACAGAGAACAGAACAAAAGGCAGCCAACATGCAAAGAATAGCTTTGTAGAAGCCTGGAGAACTAGTCCCGAAGACGACTTAAAGAAATTACAAACCGGCTTACCTAAGAGAGTTCAGGCTTTGTTGAAGAATTAAATAATGACATTCAAGCTTTTTATAATTGTGCAAACTGTTTTTGCCTTATATACTGTATTTATATTTATGTAAAACATAAAGAAATGAGGGATGGCTTGATACTGCACAGTACTCTAAGAGGAGCTATTTTGACTCATCAGAGCATGAATATGGCAGGTGAAATGTTTTTTTTTTTAAAGCAGTCGGGTTTTAGTAACTGAGTCAGAAAGCAATGCCAACATGGTCATTATTAGGACTCTGGAATTGGCTCACCTAAATGGAATGCACTCATCATTTATAGTATTAATCACAGCTGTGCTTTTCATGCTATGGTATGCCAAAATTTCTGCTGTGAAAAAGCTCTATTAGCGCATAAACTCCTGTAACCTCACATTATCGCCAGGATAGCTGAACTGCCAACATAACAAACAGCTGTGAAAGTGTAATGTTGCTTCTTTGGACCCGGAGAACACAGTGTAAGTGTGATTGCTGGTTTAAAGAACTTTATTTTTTTTTTTATCTTGTTGCAGAAAGTTTTCCTGATGGGGAAAAAAAAAAGATAAAAGTCTGCTTTATTTTTCATTTGAAGTTGTATTGTGATGGGTTCTTTTCATTATCCGGTGAGGTAAATTGCTCTCTATAATGATTTGATGATGAACTAGTTTATCCCGTTCGAAATTATGTCTAATTACTGAAAAGCAAGTGGCTCTTGCCAAGCAAACATTTGTGTCCAGGTTTCTGCAACTTCATTATCCACCGATGCCCCTTCAAAAAAACAGAGAAACAAGAAAAAAAGGGGAAAATTC